TCCGTCAATATGTATTTTTATGCTGTTTAAAACAAATCAACAACAGGAGACCGAGCAAACAACCATGTCACCATACATCATTATTAAGTGGTAATATAGAGTTATTAAGCCATGGAATCCTAATTTATTTTATTTTGAAGCCGTTCAAAGAAAATATTTCATTTCATGGTTCCGAATATGTAATTAGGGCCTCTTGATTGTTTTATTACTTGTATATTAGCAATGTATTTATCCTGTGGTTTGCTCAGCCTGGCCTGTAATTTGTTAAATAACTACATTTCTTTCTTGATTGCATTCCCAATTCTATACTGTAGATGCTTTGGTGAGTTAATTAGGACTATAAAATAAAATTTTTATAGGCGAGATCAGGTTTTTCCCCCATTACAGATTAGATTGGTTGAGCCTCATCATTCTGGCAAGTGCCTCTGTTGAGTAAATTTCACATTTTCTATATAAAATAGGAACGTATGTTGTTACGTTATTGTTAATTTTATAAGAGAGGCTAATCAGGTTGATTTAGAGATAAACTGTAGATTATAAGTAATCTTAGTATTTAGGCCTTTGTGGGAAGACCACACGGTCAAGTTTTAATATAAAAGTCAACTCACATAAAAATTGAGAACACATACAACGTTTTCAGGTTTTATAGGTATAAATTATAATCAAATTCTGCATATTAAGGTTTTCTCCAAGCACTGCAAGTAAAGATGAGGCCTGTAAAGTCACTGATATTTTCCTGCTGACTCAGTAGTTTTTATGACATGTACAAAAATAAGTTGCTGCACAAACAAGTTTAATTCAAAAAAATTTTTATTAATTTTTGTCTAATAAAAAAAGTCTACATTAAAAAAAGTGTAATAATTTTTACAATTTTTTCAATTTCCTTTGTCTATTTAAGAACATATTTAAATATGTTGTCTTCATTTTTAATCACATTTTTTTTTTATTTTCTTTTTTTTCTTTTATGTCATATTAACATTTCTAAAGTGAAACCTTTAGAGAATAAGACAATTCTGGAAAGTGGAAAGCACATTGCCGACAATAAGATACGTTATATTGTGCAGCAATTACATTTGTAAAAATGTCCGAGATGTTAAAGTCCATTTTTAAAAACGTTGCTTCGACGCACCGCCGCGTCCTCTGCGTGTTCAACGCATGCGATATTTGCTCTGTGGAACAGAGGCAAAACTCGCTTCTCCTTCCTCTCCAAACCTCATCCGCACAAAGAATGAGGGCCATTGTGTCGCTCTCGTGGCATACCTGACCTCATTCACATAAAGAATGAGGATCATCTTGGCATGGACGGGACGAGGAACGACGTAGAACCGCGAGGGCCACTCGGGCCTGCCTCGCGCTGCCTGGACGGTTCAGCCTCCTCAGGAGCATCCAGGGATGTGGAAACATCAGCATCCTTGCTTCAAAGGATGAGTCGAGTATTCCTCGAGGTTTACAGCATCTCAACAGAGAAGAGTAAAGCTCCAGATCAACGCTCGGGCAGAGTGATCTCAGGAACCCACTCGTTATAGCTGCGACTTTCTTCACAGAACAGGTGAAGCTTCTCCAGAGCTGGATCCTCCCAGGAGTCCTCAGCTGGGTTCTGTTAAAACGGAGCAGAAGGGTTTTAAAAAAACCAAGTCTGGGCACAAATTAACTTGCACTCTTGCACTTAAATGTTAGATATGAACATATTCTCACCGTTATAAGGACACAATGAGTGTCCTCGAGTTGACCCTTGGGACCAACAAGAGCATTGAGAGCATTCAGGTCGTTTACTCTGACTATGCTGATGTCGTTGTCAAAGCAAAACGCTTGGATCAGAGTAAAATGGATCTGGAGAGCGATGTCGCACTCAAAGTCATCAGTGGCCAACAAGCAGAAAGACACACTATCAGGGTCCCTGTAAAAACAAAAGTATGTTTGAAATGAGGTAACCCGCACAGCAGCAATGGCATGGCTAACTAGACAGGAAATGGATTATCGCATGGAAGACGTTCCTCCAAACTTACTCGTTCATTATTTTTGCGCATTCATAGACGCCAACAGTGAGGCGACCCTCCGCATTGGCAGACAGCAGGGCTTCGGATAGAGATTTTCCTTCATTCACCATTTTGGTTTGAATTAAAGTAGGCAGTAGCTGTGTTTCAAGTATAGTAGTGGCTCGAGCGGAGCGAAATAAGTTATGAGTGAGTTTCCAGCTGACACGCGACCAGTACTTATAGTGGTATAGTGGCACGCGTTTGCACCCCGCGTTCTGATTGGCTGTTCTGAACAATAAAGAAAAAGACGTTTCCAAGGCGCGAGCCTTTAGACATGCACGACATCAAACTCTGATCCTTTCACTTTTGTCCTAATTAAATAGACCAACGTATTCTACTCAAAAGAGGTGGCAGAAATTCAACAAGCTCAGAAAAAATACGCGCATGTTGATGGGTAGCTGTCATGAGATAGTTTAGAAAAGTTCACGTTTTGCGAAAATAAGTTTAAACATTTAAGCATTTTACTATTTTTTTTTATTTTTTTTTATAAATATTGTTCATTGACATGTTTTTACTGTTTTATGAACTAGTGAATGCAAAAAGGCTGATAGTGGCGAATGTTGACCAGTTTCATAACGATAAACTTCCTTGTATAAATTTTAACCTACAATATTGACGTTGACCAAAACAATCAATAAATGGGCATACTGAGTGAATTAACCAACATGTAGGCCTATACATTCCATCATTGCTCAATCTGCGAATAGTTAGGCATATGAGTTTTAGTTTTGGCGTGTATTAAGTGTTTCTATAAAAAAAGAGAGTTAAGCAAAAGAAAAGGGTTTATTTAAATGTATTAATGACAATCGAAATATAGTTCGAGCAAGCCTTTTTATTAAAAATAAAATCTGGGTAATGTGCTTGTCACAGATGGGTGAATATATCAAACTTTTGAGGTTGATTTTTATGTGCTGAAGGTTATTTATTACCTATTGCTGATTGTATCACATACGCGTGGCTAATTTGCATACCCAAAGGTGACCGGACTTACGGCGCGTGGCATCTGGACGTGCTTCTCTTTTGCTATGGAAACACTCCCCATCTGCTGATGGGGGAAGATGAGGATCAGCTGAGCAAATTTCTGCTGTATTTATCAACTGAGACTTCTATCTATGCCTGCGGACACAAACACTTTTTATGGTGCCTTTCGATAATAAACGTGATATAAATATTCTTAATTGCATTTAGAATCATAGCCTTAACTTGTTTAATGTGTATAGCTTTAGGCCTATATTTGTTTAGTTCCTATGCTTGTAACTTTTATTAAAATCGTCTTGAACACATCTGAACAAACTTCTGGCTGACTTTTATTCCTTTGATGACAGGTAAGTCATATAGAGTAAAATGCAATGGCTTTGTAACAGATGGATGTCCTAATCTGCAGCTGCAGGAGAGACTAAGTAAAAGCAATTGTTCGATTAGTCTGCTTTGCGCTCGAGCAGGTTTGTCTTGGAACACCTGTCACTCTCGTGCACTAAGGGGGGCACGGACGGGATGCCCGGCCTGCAGATGTGATATTAGAACAATGCATCTATTCTCGTTGCAAGTGTCTTTGCTATTTGAAACCAGTTCTTTCTCTTTCTTTCCTTGTTTGTACTCCGTACTGTGTAAATAAAGCACAAATTTACGCTCTATAGAACTTTCTGTATTATTGTAAGTGTCTTTTTATATGTTAAAGCTATAATTTATATCGTTTGCATGTATGCAACTTAACTTGCCAAAATTAAACATGTAAAACAATATTTTACATAGTTTTTCCTATTGCTGCAGCGATCACTATAACGAAAACTTCAACTGAATCTATTTAAGATTTTAAAAAAAAACGTGCACACAATAGTCATATGCGCTGCTGGGCTGCGAGAGGCCAATGGGGGCATCCTAAAGTGAGGCCTCTCCATCTGCTCCTGTTCTGCGGGGTAACAATGGGCCTGCATCAGTCATTGTCAACCTGTTTAGCCTCTCAAACAAACAAAAAAAACCTCTTTCCTTCCATATAAGCTTGCATTCGTAATGATCTGTGATCCTGATATAGTTTTGTTTTTCCCCAATTTTTATTAAAACCTGTCAACAAAATTACAAAAATATCCGCGCATTTAAACCAAGCTGTTTATTCGCACATCATTAAATGCGTTAAGGCTGCGAATGTTTCTGCACTTGGAGAACATACTAATATAAACTGCTAAATTTTCAGGGTGGCCTACATTTAGAAAGCTGCCTCTGGTCACTTGGTCCGTGGACCTAGCAGGCCAGATTGGGCAGAGGGGCGTCATGGCACGCGCATCTTATTTGCATTTGTAAAGGCCTCTAATAATAGAAGTTTCTGAGTTCACAATAGGGCCGTTTCCACAGATGGCCACACTCCACCTGTCTTTTGCGCTGAGGGCGGGGGGATGCGATCCCCTTATCCACATTTGCTCACTTTAACCATTAAAAAAATATTAAATACTAACGTTTACGCAAACGCATTCAACAAATAGAAGTGTAATTTGATTCTCTGTAATATACCTCATCTTACTAAATGCATTGCTAAATACCTACTATATATTTGATCAAACAAATTAGCTCAAAAAGAGAATATATACACTAATGTGTATAGAGTGAGGAGAGATATTACTTTTTAAACATTTATGTGTATTTGGTCTGGAGTTAGAGAGATAATAAAACATTTTAATGCAGCTAAGATACTAAAACACACAAAACTTTGCAAAATAAATAAATATGCTTTTGTAAAAGACTAATAGGCTATCTAAATAAAAATAAAGTAGGCCTAAAAAATAAGATACTGCTCAAACGTATCAATGCATTTGGTTCTATAATATAAAAAGTAAATAATAAAATAATTAGTTGAAGTCTGCAGAAAGTCTTAAAAAGTGGCATTACAGCCCTCATCAATCTGCCACGAGCCGGAGTGTGACAATAACATTAGCATACCAATGCACCATTCATATGAACCAATCAGAGGACGCTTCTTTCATAGCCACTACGAGCCGGGGAGTATAAAACCTGCGAGCTCACGCCGTTAGAGCATCAATCCTTTCATCCAGCTTCAGCTCTGCTATCTGCTCCTTGTGGAATTACTAAACCAGCATCATCATGACTCTCGAGGAAGTTGTCATCCAGAAGCCCAGCGAGAGAGTTCAGTGCACTGGAAAAGCACTGGAAGAAGTTTTGTTTTCTGCCAAAGCGAACGACTGCCTTACCATTGGCGTTTACGAATCTGCCAAAGTTATGAATGTGTGAGTATGCTGTCCATTGATTCTTCCTTCATGCAACAACTTTTATCAAGGGTTTCGACTGATTTAGTAGTACAAATTGTGCTTATAATATGCCTTTTCTTGTATTTCAGTGACCCAGACAGCGTGTCTTTCTGCGTCCTGGCGATGGATGAGGAGTTCGAGTGCGACATTGCTCTCCAAATCCACTTCACTCTCATCCAAGCCTTCTGTTTCGACAACGACATCAGCATCGTCAGAGTGAATGACATGCAACGTCTTTCTGAGATTGTTGGTGACAATGCTGAACAATTTGAGGATGCTCACTGCGTTCTTATTACGGTATGTATGCGCAAAGGAAAATATTTTACACTCATTAGCAAAAGCAGAAACTATATTTATGCATTTGCAACGTTTTGGATAACGTATCTTATTGTCGGCAATGTGCTTTCCACTTTCCAGAATTGTCTTATTCTCTAAAGGTTTCACTTTAGAAATATTAATATGACATAAAAGAGGAAAAAAAAAACTAACTTAAAAATCTCTAAAGATTTCACTTTAGAGATATTATGATTTTTTATTTTAAGAAGAAAAAAAAACTAACTTAAAAATCTCGAAAGGTTTCACTTTAGAAATATTTGATATGCAAGAAAACTATTTAAATATTGTTTCAGACTTTGCATTACAAATTTTGCATTGTAGAAATGACGGAATGCATAAAAAATAAATGTATTACAAATTAACAATTGTGTCATGTGTTCACTCTTCAGCAGATGCCAAGCATTTTAATTGCATTCATAACACATTCACACACCTTAGCTGGTAACCTATGTAATGGATATATTTATATTTCGAGAATGAAAACGAGGCTGTGAGGGATCGACGTTCAGTAGCTGAGTTGTATTGTAGGCTATATCTTGTTCAGCTGACACGGCATTGCAAAATGCATCAATTTCCTAGTGACATAGGCTATACTCGAGCAACGTGTTAAAAGTAGACGCCATAGCTATATCTTGAACTCACTGCACGCGTATCCCTCAGCCTCGTTTTCATTCCCGAAACGTAAAATGACGTCTATAGTGAATAATGTCCATTCCTAAAGTTTTCATTCTTAATTAACTGGATTGGGGGCAGCATAGTGTCAGCTGCCATCTGCAGCCGCTGGTGATCTGCATGTGTATAGCTACAGCACAATAGTAGCGCGCTGTCCCGTTAAATTGGGGCCCCCAGCACAAGGAACTAATTATTACCTCGGCAGATGTCTGAGCCACGACGCTACTCCATCTGCCAAGTAGCGCAGATGGGAGGTGAAGGCTGTGCCGCGGGGGTGAGTGTTGGGCTGGCACTCTTATGGCTCCCTGTCAGTTGCTGTATTGCTTACAAACCGCCCGTGGCTTCTGCACGGATTGCTGCAGCACTCAGCGTTGAGAGAGGGGCTTCAATGAACGCACAGAGAGCCTATACACTGAATATGTAGGGCTATTTAGTGAAAGTTTGTACACAAAAATGGAGAAAAGCAGTAAAAGTCGACAAATGTAATATGTTTTTATTTGCAAAAAGTATTTTTATTTTTTTTAAAGCTGGCTGACTGAAACATATATTACATAAGTTAAGCCACTGACAATTAAGTAAAATTTCTTGTGCAAAAGAAAACTATTTTAAAAGTACCATTGAAGTTAATAAGAATTAGCATGTAGATTCTCATTGATTTGATCTATTAAATTATTTGTGCTACGAGTGAATCAGTAATGCCACAACTCCCACAATATTAGGCAGGTTTGTAAATGGTTTGTTTGCCCAAAAATTTAAACTTTCTTAATTTATTCACCCTCATGTTATCCCAAATCTGTACCTTCTTTATTCTGTGAAACATCAAAAGAAGATATTTTTTAAAATGTTGTATTGCTGTTTTGAACATATGCAATGAAAGTCATTGGGGTCAAGTATTGTTTTGGACCCCATTGACTTTCATCGTACTATGGAGAAAAAGACTGAATAAAAGGGATGAACTATGCCTTTAAGAAAGCACACACAGTTTTGAGGAGTGTCGTAGGTTCCTGTAGGCACGGAGACTGTCTCTTTTAGGATCTTTGACGACTCCACTGATTATAGGTGCAGACTCGGCTCCATTGTTTCTTTTAACTCCGTGCAGTAGTATGCGGTAAACCCCTGTAATGGGACTGCGAATGCGTTTTCCTTGGTTATTGAGAATATGTTCCTGAGTGACTCCCAGTTTCTCCAGGATACCTTTTACCTCTTCCTGGTCTCCGTCTAACTCCCCTGGGCCGGCCTCTATTAGATGGATGGAGTTGAGCTGGTATAAGGGAGGAATTGGCCGGAAGAGTTCCACTGGCAGCAGCCACTCACAGCCCAGCATCTGGTCTAGTGCGCATCGCTCTGAAGGTTCTGGCTTCAAGATCCCCCTGATCAGCCGCTGACATGGAGCTGATACCCAGGTTGGCAGGACGTAGTCACCCTCCAGCACGCTTTGGTGCAACTTGGCCAC